CTCTCTCGTCGTCGTCGTCGTACGTCGTACACGACGTAGACGAGAGAGAGAGAGAGAGNAGAGAGAGAGAGAGAGATCATGCCTGGATACCTTCCCAAACTCTAAATTAATTCCAGGCTTTGAAGAACTAACGAAACTAAACTACCACTTATTGTTACATGATTTCATCAGTAACCATTGATGCCTCTTTTCCTTATTGTGATTAATTGGTCTTTGTCTTTCACAGTCTTCATTTTTGGGTCGTGCCTCGAGTAATTCTCTCCAGTCGTCTCACAAGCAAGGATCCAAAACAGTTCGATCCTTCATTTTTGGCCGTGATGATAGTAATAGCAGAAGTGGTATCTCTGCTTCTGATGTATTGGAATCGGTAAACTACATTTTGTTTTACCTCTGTTAGATCTTCGTCTTTGTTTCTTGTCTCAATTGTGCATGATAGCTTTGAACCATCTTAATACTTTTTGGTAGTGTATCAATATCACCTACCGACTCGGGGAATCACCACGGTTGGACCGGATAGGGAGCTGGCCATTTTGGGAAGAAAAACCCTAGAATTGCTTGAGTCTCCCAGTTCTCCATTTCCTTTCTCAAATTTTTATTAAATATGGCCCAGTCTAACTCAGACTTGCCTGAGTCGTACTAGGGGATAGGTGTCTGATTCTGATTTTTGAAACACTGGTAATGGTGAGCGTTCCCAATTCTGATCGTTAGAACATTGGGTATGGATAGAGAGAGAGATTTGCTGCATCTTCATATTTTAGAAAAAAACTGAGCTTTATTCTTTCCACTATTATTTCTAAGGTGGTTGGGACATGGCAATGCAGGATCAGAAAGAGAACAGGCCACCAACTAATGCATCAATGAAGCAATCTCTTTCACAGTTAAATCACAAGAATGGCCATGAAAAGAAGAATATTAAGAGTGATACGACCTCTGGGTCTTCTCTGTTTGAAATTTTGAAGCGCTCATCTGTGCCTTCGGTGTCCAGCCATGAGAACAATGAGACCCTGCACTATTTTCAAGCCTTCAAATCTGTTGGGAAATCTGCAAACAGAAAATGAAGATCATCTGATGGAAAAGCATCACTATTGTTTTGCTTTGATGGTGAGCATTCCAGCTTTCATTTACCCAAAAAAAAAAAGTTTTTCATCATTGATAGATTTGATGGAATTGATTCAATGTTCAATTAAGTTGTGAGGTGATATTTTGATATAAGTGAATAATATCTTTCATTTATTGGTGACGATCTTAAACTGAATGTTGGAAGTGAAAATATCTTTCATTTATTGGTGGCAGTTTTTACCTGAATGTAGATACTTATTCGGCTTTTCTCTTTGCTTTTACGTAGTGCTATAAAAACCCAGCTGCTGCTGCCTTGACCCAAGCTCTGATACCTGGTACTTAATTGGTCTTTCTCTGAATTAATTTATTTTTCCATTATCAGATGGTCATATCTCTCTTTCTCTCTAAATCCTCAAGGTATTTGGCTTTTATCAACTAGGCCTCGAGACGTGAATTAAACTCGAGGTCTTATGCATTTTTAAGCTTGTGATCACTGATACATGGCTAAAAAAGTGATGTAACTAATAAACCATGTGCATTGTGCTAATTGCGGAGTCTTGAATGCCGGAGAACTGTTTTTGGTACAAGGTCAAATCATCCTCATCATCATGATGTGTTATCGGGGAGCGCAGGGTGTGCCTTGGTCATGCTCAAAGTACAAGAAAAGTTATTGGACTTCGAAGATAATCAATCTTATGGGCAGTGTTTGCAAAATCGAATCGAAACGGTTAATCGGACATGGAGCTGCCAGCGGTTTGAACCGGAATTGGACTAATCGGAGCGGTTAATCAGATTAACCGGACAAGTAGATTTTTTTATTTAAAATGGGTCGAAAACCTACAAAAAAATAAAAAAAAATAGAAAAACTTAGATTAAGTGTATAATATTTTATTACAAATATTTATTTAATGGGCAAGCTTTCTATGCTTCCCCTTCAATATAGCAGTTCTCCCTTATCCAATTGTCCATTTTGAATGGAGGGCTAAGATCAAATGGTGAGTGACTTTCTTTATCAAATTTGGATGGTTGGATGGTAGGGGGAGGATAGAATTTCTATGCTATAGGGGAAGTATAAAAACCTTTCCCTTATCTTACAATAAATATTGAAACAACTTTTCATAAATTAATATGTGAATACTATGATCTTGTGCATGATCCCTAAGCAAGTCACATAAATCTTTTTGTTTTCTAGATTAGGATATTTTTTGAAGATATTTTTCTCATGTAACATCTTTTTCCAAGAATTAACATATTCATCCCAAACCTTACATGAAAAACTTTATAGTTTCTTTCGTACAAAAATCACTCACATTATGAATGAATGTTTATGCACTTTTTGCAAATAATAAAACTAGCTTGGATGCTATTAAATCAAATAAAAACCAATTAAAAAGAATATAGTAAGAAGAAACCGAGCATTATTGATCCTAAGTAAATTTCAAAATCCAAGATAGTTATTTCAATGCAAGATCAAATTTTTTTGTTAATAAAAATATTGGAAATTGTGAATCCATCGGCCAACACAATTATAATCCCATTTCAATTATACAATTACAATCTCAATTCCATTATTACAACAATTACATTTTTAAACTTATTTCATTTATTACAAACATAACTATATCATACACTTAAAAAGATATTGAAAAAAAGAAGCAAAAGTAAGACCTACATTATAATGCACTTATTTTTTTGTTTGTAATAAAAACTATAACATTTAAAAAAGAAGAATCGATTTTTTTGTTATATTCATAAAACAAATATATTTTTATCATAAAGCCATAATTTTATCAAAAAATATAATTTTTGTAAACAAAGTAGAGAAACAATTCCCATATTCATCATAAAAAATAATTTTATTGACTTAATAATATTAAGTAAAATTAATTTTTTTATAAAAATTGAATTCTCAAAAACCCCAAAAATTGAGCAACATTTCAAGCAAAAACGATCCTCAATGTTAAAAAAATCGAACAAATCAATACAAAAAGCTTTGTAAAGGCTTCCATCATCTTTCAAATGCATCAAATCTTATAAAAAAATATTTGGTATTTTTTTATTTAGTTTAAAAAATTGTAAAAAATTTAGACCTATAAAACTTTTATGACATCAAACAAGAAATAAATTCATAAAAATGTTTTTTCTCAATTATAAATCAACATATGTATTTTATATGACAGATGAAGCCTTGATGATTGAACTCCATAAATCAATTTGATAAGAAAAGACCAATTAATTGATAAAAAATCTGATGTTTTGGATTGAAGACAAGTTCTTCGTGCAACAAATTTTGAGGCTAAAATCAACTCTAAATATCTTGTTTTTTTGAATAAATTAAAGCATGGATATGGTAATAAATTCGATTATAATTCAAAACCCTCATCTTTCATAAAAAATTGTTACCTATTAAAGATCAAATTAACGAAGTGGCGAATCGAATTAGGGCTCTTCGAGCAGCTTGAACATAGGTTCTTCGAGCAAATTTTTGAGACAAATTCAACCCCCTATATCTTGTTTTTTGAACAAATTGAAACAGGGAAATGGTAACAAATTCTATTATGATTCAAAACCCTCACATTTTATTAATAATAGTTACCTATTAAAGATGAAATTCATGAAATGGTGGATCAAATTAGGGTTCTTCGAGCAGCTTGAACACAGGTACTTCAAGCAAATTTTTGGGCCAAATTCAATACCTTATATATCGTTTTTTAAACAAATTGAAACATGTATATGGTAACCAATTCGATTATGATTCAAAAATCTCAAATTTAATCAATAATTGCTACCTATTGAAGAAGAAATTGATGAAATGGCAGAGTAGAAAATCCACCACTTTAATCAACAAGAACTATTGTTTTTTTAATCTTTGATTTGAATTTTGTTTTTGTATAGACAATCAATAGTGGTTTACAACACTAAAGCATAAAAAACACCAAAAAATGGCAAGGAAATCGAATAAAAATAAAACAAGAAAATTTGATTCACAGATCATGTTGCAAATAACGGGCTCCATTTCAAAAAATGGCCGCTATTTCATTTTGCCAGTTTTTTGCCAAAAAACGCCGTTTTAATGGAAATCTAGTCCAATTAGATCAAAACTGGCCGGTTAGACATAAATATGGCCGGTTCAATCCCAAACCGACCGGTTTTGGACCGAATATTTTTATGAGAGATGGGTCTACATATTTGTACCTCAAAACCGGTTTTAACCGGAGTCAGAACCATGGCGGTTCCGATCTAACCGGCCGATTCTTTTTCAAACCGGCTAGTTTTGCAAACACTGGCTAAGGATAATTGTAACTTATGTACTTTCTTAATATTTGTTTTATATATATATATATATATATATATATAAAAGTTTATAATGTTTATACCAAAATAAATGCAAAACTTATCATTGAAATGGTCAAATCAGTATAAAAATCATTATGGTGGTTGAATAATCTATTTTAAAAATTAGTGTGGTTACTATATAACTTTCATTTACTATAGTACCTCAAAATTTAGTTAGAAGTAATTGTCGTTGTTCAATTATTTGAAAGCTTGAACAAATAGAGGTATTTTGATAAATTGACTTCACTTATGTGGCTAGAGTGAAATGATATGAATACCCTTGCATGGTGAGGCGTTTGAATCTTTAACATACTATTGATACTAAAACCTCTTATACATGTTTCCTAAAAGGGTGCGGTTTGTATAGAGCGTACGCTCTAAACAATCAAATTAGAGCCTATCTTAAAATAGTGTCGAGAAATATGGTATTAATATTGGAAATATTTGTGATAGCCTTAAAATATAGTTTTATATTTATTTTTAAAATTTAAAGCTTAAAAAATAGTACAGATCAACATATCTATGAAAACTTTAAAATCTTAAAAATTGACAGTTCAAAAATGCTCTGCAGAATACAATATTTCCAAAACTTGCAAATGATAAAGTGATAAAACGAACTCATTTGCCTTGTTTTCAAAATATTTAATTTGATTTTTTTATTATAATTTTGAAATTTGAAAGAAGGGCATTTCCATAATTTTACCTTATTGTGAGGCCAACTACCTGCGTACCCTTGCTTTTTCCTAATTTCAACATCCTAAATAGGGTCATCTTAATAACTTTTAGAAATACTCAAAGAGGTATTAGGGTGATGAATCGATTTGATCAATTATTAGTAAACTAGTTGATTTTGACGACCTTTTAAAGTTATCGAAGTGTGCTACTTGTAGTGATATTTTGTCACTTAAAGCTATTTTTTGAATTATTTTTGGTAAATAAGAAAGGGGCTTCCGTTAAAATTTAAAATTGGTGATTGTGGGAGTGTCATTGAATAGACACAAAGTTTCAAAAACAAAAAAAATCAAATTTCAAAATTCACCTTAAATCATCAAATTTGACATCTAATGAGTAGAAACGATTGTGATCCCTATTTAGAAAAGATAAATGGTCTCTTTGTAGATAAAAAAGTGCTGCAAAGAGAAGCATTTACTTCATCAAAATACTTACTTCAATAGAGCCTATACATTTTACGCATATTGACATACTAATGAGGACTTAAAGTATCACTAAATGTATAACACTTGATAGAGCAAAATGACAGATTAGGATTTCTCCCATGCGGCCTAGTATGAGATTTTTTTTATATCAATTGCTTTTAGTGTATCTTTTCACACCAATTGACTACTAATTGAGATAAAAATATTTTCACATTTGACCGCATGAGAGAAACTTTTCATGTAAAAATGTTTTCTGAAAAATATCACAAGAACCAAACGTGCCTAAGGTTGGAACTATCATTTTTCTTGGGCCACTTGGTTGGTGTTGAATAAGTAATTACTTATTGTCTACAGTTATCAATCCAAAACAAATATCCAGCAAAAAACAAATATCCAGCAAAAAAGAAAAACAAACTATGTATTCATAAGACTGAACAAGCGAGGGTTGAATAGTCATTTAGCTTGTGTCACCTTTGCTTATACTAAATGACATAAATACCCCAACTTTTCCCTTTTAGGAAGGGAAAAGTTTATATAGAGTTGGGGCTCTAAACAATCAAATTTGCGCCTACTTTGGAAATTTTACTAGAAGAGGTTGTTTTGATGCTCAAATATGTTTAAATTTATCATCTCGACATCAAGATGCATGTACATGAGAAAAAAAATAGATTGCAAGTTTTGGAAATAGTGTATTTTGTAGCGTATTTTTAGACCGTCAATTTTCAAGATTTTAAAGTTTTCATAGATATATTGATCTACACTACTTTTGAAGCTTTAAACTTTTAAAAAAAATATGAAACTATATTTTAAGGCTATCACAAAGATTTCCAATATTGAAACCACATTTCTCGGCACCATTTGAAGTTAGGCTTTATACAAACCGCACCATGTAAGGGAAAAATTTATATAGAGCTGAGGCTCTAAACAATCAAATTTGAGCTTACCTCGAAAATTTTACTAGAAGAGGGTTTTGATGGCCAAATATCTTCAAATTTATCATCTCGACATCAAGATGCACGTACATGAGAAAAAAATAGATTGCAAGTTTTGGAAATAGTGTATTTTGTAACGCATTTTTAGACAGTCAATTTTTAAGATTTTAAAGTTTTCATAGATATGCTGATTTACACTATTTTTGAAGCTTTAAACTTTGAAATTAAATATGAAACTATATTTTAAGGCTGTCATAAAGATTTTCAATATTGAAACCACATTTCTTGACACCATTTGAAGATAAGCTCTAATTTGATTGTTTAGAGCCTACGCTCTATAAAAACCGCACCCTGTAAGGCAAAAGTTTATATAGAGTCGAGGCTTTGAACAATCAAATTTGAGCCTACCTTGAAAATTTTACTAGAAGAGGTTGATTTGATGCCCAAATATCTTCAAATTTATCATCTCGACATCAAGATGCATGTACATGAGAAAAAAATAGATTGCAAGTTTTGGAAATAGTGTATTTTGTAGCGCATTTTTGGAATGTCAATTTTCAAGATTTTAAAGTTTTCATAGGTATGTTGATCTACACTATTTTTGAAGCTTTAAACTTTAAAAATAAATATGAAACGATATTTTAAGGCTATCACAAAGATTTTCAATATTGAAACCACATTTATCGACACCATTTGAAGATAGGCTCTAATTTGATTGTTTAGAGCCTAGGCTCTATACAAACCGCACCCTGTAAGGGAAAAGTTTATATAGAGCTGAGGATCGAAACAATCAAATTTGAGCCTACCTTGAAAATTTTATTAGAAGAGGTTATTTTGATGCTCAAATATCTTCAAATTTATCATCTCGACATCAAGATGCATGTACATGAGAAAAAAATAGATTGCAAGTTTTAGAAATAGTGTATTTTGTAGCGCATTTTTGGACCGTCAAATTTCAAGATTTTAAAGTTTTCATAGATATGTTGATCTACACTATTTTTTAAGCTTTAAACTTTGAAAATAAATATGAAACTATATTTTAAGGCTATCACAAAGATTTCCAATATTGAAACCACATTTCTCAACACCATTTGAAGAGAGGCTCTAATTTGATTGTTTAGAGCCTAGGCTCTACACAAACCACATCCATAATGTAAAAGGATTGTCTATAAAGAAACCATTTATCTTTGGGTGCGGTTTCTTTGAGGTTCTAACCTTAAACAATCCAATTAAGGCGTACCTCCAAATTTTATCATAACATCTAATTTTGGTGTAAAAAATTATTAGGATTATCTGAAAATCTATTTTTGTATTCAATTATAAAATTTTAAACTCCAATAATGCTTAAAATCAAGTAGATCTATAAACATGTGAAAATCTTGAAAATTGACGGTTTAGATAATGTGACACAAGATGTGCACTATTTTTGGGACTCAAAATATTTTTCTTTTTTCATATTCACACATCTTGATGTTAAGATGATCAATTAGAGGGTTTTTCAACCTTAAAACAAAATTTTCCAATGGATTTTTTATGTGCATATTTACTTCTACATTTTAAGGTTACAACCTTATATAAACTCTTTTTTTTATCTTTTGTACATGAATTCCCCCTCATTAAATGTTAAATTGGGTGGCTTGGGGTGAGTCATAAGAGATTTTCTTTTTTTGAACTTTGTGTCAAGTCAATGATACTCTTAGGATCACCACTTGTAAAATTAAATGACAAGAATGATTTTGACCTCCATGTATAAAAGATAAAGAAAAATACTATACAACGCTTTAGGCGAAAATGAACAATAATTTTGCCTATGTTCATCACGTCCAAAGTTCATCGCACGGTCACAGTTGTCTGGCAGTGTTTCAATTTTCATTTTTTGTCTACAAATCAGAATGATTTGAAATTTGGCGTGTGTGTTCATCAAAAATAGGTGAATCCAGTAAAAATATAAAAAAAATAATTTGTAAAATATAAGTTGACCAAAATACCCTTGAAAATTTACATGGGTATTTTGGTCAATTTATATTTTATGAAATATTTTTCTTTCATATTTTTATTTGGTGCGCCTCACTAAGATGTACACACATTCCAGATTTCAAATCATTCTAATTTATAAAAAAAATAAAAATTAAAACACTATCGGACAATCGTGACGGTGTGATAAACTTTGAACGGTGATAAGTATAGACTAAATCACTGTTCATTTTTTGCCTATAGGCGTTGGGAAGGCTTTTTAAAAAATAAATAGTCCCTTTATAGACAATCCATAATGAAAATCCCCCTTCCGAATATGCAATACAAAAGCTTAATGAAATAAACACATTCTACGTTATAAGCTTAATGAAATAAACACATTCTACGTTATAAGCTTAATGAAATAGACACATTCTACGTTATGTAATCGACAACATTTATGCGATTTGGCACCGGCCGCTTGCGCGAAGCAAATTATCAAATAGTACTACTGCATATTCCAAAGAGAGTTTTGCATATTTTTAAACATAATGGTTGGGAATTTACTCTTCTGGAATTATTTTTCATGCACATGCAGTGATTTTTATTTTATTTTATTCTATTAGAAGTCGAAGGGGATTTTATTTTATTTTATTTTTACAAATTTCCTTAACAAATTACTCATATATATTTTATTTAATTTCAAAATACCCATTAAAATACACATCACTAGGTGAAAAGGAACATTCTTAAACGAAAAAATTAAGGGGCATGTAAAAAATCCACCCAAAAAGGTTGTTTTGATTTAGAGAACCTTTACAATTACTCATCCCAATCTCTAGATGTCATCACCATTATTATTACCAGAGCCTTTTCCCGGTTGGTTACACGAATTCTAGTCCGTCATTTTGCTCTTTCAAAAGCCATACTCTTAATAAGGCCATAAGTGTATCTTATAATATATTGTTTAGAACATCCATTTTTTAAAAGTGTTTATAGATCTGCTAGATCTATATTATTTCTTGAGCTCTAAATTTCATAATTGAAGGTAAAAATTTAAAGAAAAATGATTTGATAGGGCTGCGGCTTTATCAAAATAACTAAATCCTCACTTGATAACTCATCAAAAATTACAAGTCAAGCACTGAAAAACCTTTGCCTCAACCATCTCAACACGTATATTATGGTTGTGAAAAAAAAAAGAAGATTTCAAGCTCTAAAAATAATATACATTATAATAATTTATTTAGATAATCTATTTTGCTTTAAAAATAAGTATTCATAGATCCGTAAGACCTATAATATTTTTTGAATTTCAAATTTTATTGTCGGTATTGAAAATTGATTTTAGAGCCATCATAGAGATTTTCATCACCGAAAGTACTTTTTGGACATGAATTTGAGGTGAGGCTTTTATGTTGTTTTCATAAAGCCTAGGCCTTATAGAAACCTTATCCAAATTTAAAAGGGGCAATCTTTGTATGCTTCCCATACAACATAAAACTTCTATACTTCCCTTTATCCAACCGTCTATTCTAAATGGATGACTTAGATAGCCCCAATCACAATGTCATCCTCTATACTATTTTATTTTAAGTTTTTTTATACTAAATATTTTACCACCAAATTTTGGGTGTCCAATCCTCTCTTGAACTCTCACCTATAAAAAATATAAAACAAATGCTCCCAATAAAATAAAATGACTAAAAATACCCCTGAAAGTTTTAGGTATATTTTGGTTATTGTATTTTATCGAAAATATTTTTTAATATTTTATTTAGGTGCGCCCCATTAAGATGATGCCACCTACCAAATTTCATATTCATATAGTTACTAGAAGAAAAAACTAAAAATAAAATAATGTAAGGCGTCAGATTTAGATTTAATGATCAATGACTCACTTGATCTAAATTGAACGGCCGGATAAAAGGCGAAATATATATCCTTTATGCTGTAGGGGAAACATCAAAACCTTCCCCATTTGAAAGACATCATAAGGGTTTATGACACTAGTTTTGCATTTTTTAGGTAGATTTTTTAATGTGCGCCTTACTTAGATTTTTAAGGTTGATACTTTATACAAACCACACCCATTGTTAAAATCATTGATAAACATGGTATATTTATATAAATTTTACTATCCTATATTTTGTGAGGTTGATTTCCAAATAGGTTGGCAATAGGCTAGGCTAGCCCTACATGGTCGGTCCTACCCCGATCCGGCCCTGAACAGGTGGAGGAGGCTCTAGCCCTGGCCCTAGGGTGGTCCTAGCCTGTCAAGTGCCAGACATGGTCTAATCTAATTTGTAGGAGAAAATACAGAGGAAAAAAATACCGAACCGGGCCGAATGGTGCTAGCCTTGTCATGGCCTTGGCCTAAGTTCGACTAGCTCGGCTTGGCCATCGGGCCACAAGATTGCCACCTGGCCCTTGTTTCTTAGGGCTGGGCCTCCAAGCCCATTGGGGTCCCTAGTTCAAAATCCAGTCCAAAAGCGTACCCGCAGTCCTCAATTGGTTTACCTGAAGGTGTAAGTGTATAATGTGCTCTCGGTGGCTCATAAATACGATTTGACTTTCAACCGTGTACGGTAGGTCCGCGACGCTGTGTTTACATTCTGTGTGCAGAGAGTCAAGAAATCCAAGCAGTTTTTGGACATGGAAACCGCAATTCAAAGGCGTCTTCGTTGTATTTCGGAGCATCTCAAGCCCCCCAACACTCTGCTAAATCCCCTAAGAATTAGGGTTATATGAACTCTCTGCCTTGCCCCTACTCCTTTCAAATTAGGGTTCTGAGCCCCACTTCCTTTCTCTATGTATTTTCACTTGGAATTAGGTTTCATATCATCTCTCTCTGGGTTTTGACAGTGCTCTTCAGATGTGGAGAATCCAGTAGATGGTGTCCATGGCGCTTGCCCTGTGGTCATTGGAGGAATGGTTTTGGATATCCACGCAAAGCCTTCTGTCTCTGTAAATCCTGGTACCACCACTCCAGGCCAGGTCTCTGTTTTATTTTCCATCTTGTTATTCTTGTTATTACTGTTAGTATTAGCACCACTAAACTGTGATAGCTGATACCAGTTCTAGCTTATTTCAGTCAATGGTGTTCTCTTTATTTGCTCTGTCCCTTTCAGCTTGGACATTCGTTGGCATTGTTTAAAACTTTAAATTGGAGCAAAGATGGTTTGGTTCGCCGGGAAATGGGTTGGGTCGGGGTCATAATACTCACACTACTGCTACCACTACACACATACATACATACTAACTGCTATTACTACGACTATAACCACCACCACCAAAGACTCATGGGCGGAGTGGTATGCTATTGCTCGCATGGCCTCCCAAACATCCAATTGAATTTGAATGGTTGGGATCACTCAAAGGTGTGTGTATTAATGTACAGAAAAACGACTTGGCCAAGGTACTCGGCCATTTGCCGAGGCTAGTTACTTGGGCGAGTCTGAGTAACTCATTGGCTGTGTGAGAGAGAGAGAGAGAGAGAGAGAGAGAGAGAGAGAG